GCCCCCCCCCCCCCCCCCCGCCCCGCCTATTCAGAGTCAACCCATCTTTCTATGGAGAACCATTCCAGGCGCCATTTTCTCCATCCCATCTCCCAACCTATTGGAGGCCTTCTCTTTGCATTTTCATGCCGTCCTGCTCCTTCGCAAGGAGACGGGCATGATCTAGATCTTTCTCCCAACCAGGGAAGCGTGATATTAGAAAGGACATAGAACAAAGGATGCCCACAGACCATAAGGATGTCTGAACAAAGAGCATCTGAGCCCATTCTTTGATGAATGGTGCCTTGGGGACGGGTGTGGGAGGCCTGGGGAGCCCCAGAGAGCCGCGTGGCGGTCTCCATGGGTCTCCAACCTCAGCGTCTACTGACCTTCCACCCTGTGCAGGGTTCAGCATCCCTGGGTAATGAACTCTGTCCATCTTGTCCTCTCGTCTGTCTGTCCTCAGAGGCCTGGATCACCACCTCCAGGCCCTAGAAATGGCTCTTCACGGTGCCTCAGCGGTAGCCCTCTCTGTGAAGGGGTTAGCATACCGCCATCATGAACCCAAGGGGTGGTCCATGGGAGCCCCCCGACCTTCCCACATGGTCTTTGGCGACTGAGGGCATCAAAAAGGTTGACCCCCAAGGAGCTCACGGCCGATCGTGGCCTTCTAGGCCTGGCCGCCATACACCCACCCGCCAACCGCTTCCAACCAACCCAGCAAGCTCAACCTCTTTGGGCGTTCCAACGCGGCGCCCCCTATTGGACCTCCCACCCATATCCGGTTTCCGGTCTGAAGCCCCCTGCTCATTCGCCAAGCATTCTTGATTGGCGTGACCCCAGCCCAATAGCTGACCTGGCGCTGGGGTCGGAGGGGAGTGGGTTGGTGGTTGAGACCCTGTTGGACCATTCAGTGTGTGTTCAAACTGTTTCGCCATTTTGCGTGGGGGTAGTTGACCGAACTTTGGATCAAAGTTCAAAGTGTTCGGCGCCAAGTGTGTCGAACCGTGTCGAACCGTAGAGCTGAGGTGGTACGCCTTCGGGAGGTCTCGGGTTTCCCTAGCGGTCCACTCTGTGTGCTTTCCTGTACTCGGGGCGACCACGTGGACGCTGTAGGCAAGGGTCTGTGGCGTGCTGAGCCTGCAGTGGGAAGAGGGACATGTTAGACTTGAGACAATTGCAGCTTGCCGCGGTACACCCGCATGTGTCGTGCAATGAAGCCAGCTACATGGTGCATGACTGCCGCAATCCACCCTGAGTATCACTCCACACTCTGTCTCTTCTCCCAGGGTCCTGCAGTCCAGCAACCCCCTGCCCACTGCCTAACTGCATTGCAACAAAAAGACAATGGCTCGCGCCATTGCGCGTGCCGCGTCTATGGGCTCTGATCCGAGAGAGACAAAAAAAAAAAAATCAGAACAACAGCAAAAAACGCCCCTGCCTTGAATTCCTCTGTAGACCCCAGCCCTATGGCATTTTGTGTTTCATTCACTGAGCCCACCGGGCAATGCGGCTGTTTACTCTTGCGGTTCAGAGCCCACCGCGGCACCATCGGGGGCGCGCAGCCTGGCTGGCAGCCGCAGACTTTGTGTCCGAGCTAAATGCTGTCTGGAAATATTGTTGCAGTTCCAAGTACAGCGTCTGCTCTCTGGTGCTCACAGCATGAGGAGGGGGACTGGCAGGGGTCTGCTAAGGGATTAGCGAGGGGTTAGACGAACTGAACGCGAATCGTCGGCAGGCTCCCGGAGCCGGAAGCCGCGAGTCTCGGTCGCCGTTACTGCCGCGGCACGGTGGGTCGGTGGGTTAGTGCTTATCGGGTCCTCTAGTTTTTAAGACCACTCTAAATGGGTCACGATCCCACGTATCCCACCCAGTCTCCATTCCCCCTTCCTGAGAAGGCAGAAGCCCGTGCTAGGTGGGGGTCTTCCGGTAAGCCCCGCGCCCCCTCCCCTATCTGCGCCGCCGGCGCCGCAGCGGTAACCGCGTAGGGGTCTTTGCTCGATTTTGCCGCAGTGTACCGCCGAGACCCTTATTTCTACTGCGTCACCATCCACATAAACAAGCCGAAGCCTGATGCGTCACGCTAGGCTATTGCTGAGAGCCCCCCCACCGGAAGTGTAATGGGGAAGGGGCATATTGAAGGGGGATTTACCGAAGCTATCCTTGACAAACAGCAAACAAAAACATTTAAAAAAAAATAATAAAATTACCCCGGAGCATTTAAAAAACAAACTGCGTGTTCATATTTGACAACTCATCGCCCTTCATCCCCTCTCCGCCTTTCCGGTGGGCTCACGACCACCTGTCGCATTTTTATGATCGCTCCTCTACCCCTTCCCGGGCATCCTAAAGGCTCATTTCCCCAACTCAGAGCTGAGAACGGGTAATTGCCCGAGGCTGGGGTCCTCGGATAAGGTGTTTGCCGCAGACTGGGGTAATCTGGGGTGACAAAGTCCTCCTGCAGTCCCTCCTCCCCTCGGGAAGAATCTGATGGGGCGGGAGGGTTTCAGCGCCTGTACTCTGTCAGACCAATGCCCACGTCTTACGTCACGTGGCCCAGCAACGCAGGAGAGCGCGCTCTCTCTCTCTGGCCAGGGGAAAAGCGAGGAGCTCAGACTCAGAAGCAGTCTGGGAGAGGAGAGGAAGGAGGCGAACCTCCCTGCGAGGCCTGCGCTCATCAGCCCCCATACCCAAAGTCGGGAACTGCCGGCACCGGGAGCCAGCTCCCGGAGCCGGCTTAGCACTGAGACCGGCGTCCTCTGGCGGCAGAGAAAGAGTTTTACTAACGATTTTCGAGACGAATCGGCACGCTCTTAGATGCCAAGAAGGCGGGGCCAAAGTTAGCAAAGTAAGAAGAGAGTCCAGAAAAGTCGTGGGAGTGGCTGGCCGACCGCAACTTGAAGGCAGAAGTGTGGCTCCGGAGGCTCCGGGTCTTCCCAGCAAGAAATGAGGTACTTCAGCCACGATCTTGAGTTTTAGCCTCTCAGAATCTATCCTTACAAAGATTGGAAACTGAGGCTGGAGAACTTTCCAGCCAATACTCGAATATTTTAAAAGAAAAAATTTTTTGACCCTAGTTTGGCTGGGTGCTCCGTCTTACGGGGCCCCAAATTTATTTTAAAAAACCGCAACCGTGTTATGGGCATGCGCAGCCGCGTCCACGGCAACAATATGCCAGGACAACACGATATCCCCGGTGAAGTCGGGGAGCAGCCCGAGCAAGAACCTTTGGAGGCCCCAGGGGCAGTTGCCCCCGGTGCTGGGCTTGGCCCAGCCGAAGAAATGGAGGCCGAACCGTCTGCCAATGAGCCCATCCCCGCCGAGAACGGCGCTGAGGGCTATGGACCCCAGGGGGTCTCCGGAACCGACTTTCAGGGCGTCCACCAGGCGGTCGAGGAAGTCGGAGTGGGTGGAGACTATAGCCCCCCACCAGAGGAATCCATGCCATTTGAGACGAAACAGCCCAGCCCCGGAGGTTTCTGGCCCACCCTGGAGCAGCCTGGAAGATCTGGGGCCCAAGCAGGTCTCAAAACCTTCAATCCAGCGCTTTTGGAGCCCGGGACCCCCAGTGGTGCGAGCCCCGCCCAGGGAACCTACAGCCCCCCACCAGAAGAAGCTATGCCATTTGAGTTCAACGAGCCTGCCCAGGAAGCCCATAGCCAGTCGCCCTTGCCAGTCCCAGACCTTGCGCCAGGAGGTCCGGAGGCAGAGGTCCTCAGAGCACTTCCCGCGGAGCCCGGGAACATCAGATTTGCAATCGCTAGCTTGCGAGATGACTACAGCCCTCCACCTGAAGAGTCTGTGCCGTTTGGGCCCGATGGAGAAGAATTTGGGGGCGATAGCCCACCCCCGGGCCTCCCCCGAGTCACCCGACAAGTCGGCTTTGGCGGCGAGTTCCCGACAGCCGCGGTCCCGAGTGCGCTCAGTCTCGCTCCCGCCGAGAACGCGCCTCCCCTCTGGGTCCACAGCGCCATTGACAGACCGTTCAGCGAGGCTATCAGAGCTCCCGCTAACTTCGCCTGCGACAGTCCCCCAATGGAGATCTCCAGACCCCCGCTGGAGATTGGCAGAGCCTCCTCTAGGGTCGGCGACGACACAACTGTCAATATGGACGGCCCCCCAATCGCAAGTGTTGGCCCGCCCATCGAAGTCTCCGGAGCACAAGATAAGAGCGAGCGCGGCGCAGAGAGACCCCCAGTTGAGCGAGAAGCAGCCGACATGGAAGGAAGCCCAACCACCGCTGCTGCGGTGGAAGGAAAAGTCCCTTCTCCGGAGAGAAGAGACGGATCCTTCACCCAGCCAGAAGCCATGGATGACAAGCCAGCCTCAGCTGCCCAGACCGTCGCTACCGAACAAGATGCCGCCTCCGCGGCTGCCAGCGGCGGCTCTCCTCCAGCCCCAGCAACACCCGCGGATCTCCAAACCGATCCCGAAGAAGTCGGAGCCACCCCAGCTGTCCGCGCGGAGCCTGACGGAGGAGCAGCCCCGGTCATCGCAGCAGCAGCCACCCCT